GCTCCGTGATGACGAGGTAGACGGGCATGGGCGTGGGAAGGAGCCCGAGGGGTCCCAACAGGAGCGCTCCTCCCGTTAGGAAGGGTCCGTCACCAGCAGCCACACGCGGAGGCAGGCTTCTTTCTCTGTCACTTCGGGCCACGGGGTGAGACCTACGCACGTTCTCCGTGGCCCTCTCCCTGGTTCTGAGCCGCCGCGGGAGACGGAATGCGAGTGGTTTGCTGAGACTTTCTCTCGGTGAACCCATTACAATTGTTAGTGGTTTCGGCTTTTCCCTGTCAACGTTCCCAGATCCCTCGTTCTGTAACCCAGCGCTATGTTTGCCAGTCAGAGGCTTCCAGAATCCAATTTGGCAAAACACGGGGCAAATATTTGCCCATCTTTAGTCCTCTGACCGTTCTCGTGTTCTCTGTGCTGTCTTAAAGGTGACTGGCACTGGGTTTTTGAACGCATAGTTGAGTTCTTTCATGGCTGCCTTGAAGGCGAGGATCGGCAAGGTGTGCTCTGAGGACCCCCTGTGCCTGGGCCGTCAGATAATTTGAATTCTCTAAAAAGCACCAGTGTGGGGCTTTATGGGTAGACTTGAGTTACCCAGGAAAGAGGAATAAGATACAAATCAACTAACGTATGCCTTCCGTCTGACCCATGATGTCAGCCATGACCCTCCGATGGGGTTGGTCCAGGTGGTCACAAGCAGCATTTTAATGAAATAGAATATAATTCCCTGGAATAGGAATATTAGAGTGCATTGCAGAAAGCAGTAGTAAGTACTGTTTTGTGAAACTGCTGTCTTCGGTTTTGTGTGTGTGTTTGAGAAAATATTGGCATGTCAGACTGCTTACAACGGGTCACAATGCAAAGGGCTGGGAGAGCAACAGGCGAGGGTCTCCACAGACCCGCGTGGACATGGCTCTAACATCTGGACGTCACGTTCTAAAGCAGTGGCTCTTAGGGGTCCCTGATGTCTGAGAGAAAGAGGCTCTCGGCCTCCCTTGACTGTCCAGTGTAGACCAGCCAGGAAAAGGCCGGGGGCAGGGTGGGGGGCAGGATGGAGGGGCCCGACTGCTCCCTGAAGCCCCCGGCAGTCTTAGCGACGCGCCTCCCCGTTCCCATCAGTGACTGTAGTCCGGCATCTGGGAAAGCAGGGCTCTGTTGTCCAGAAGGGTCTGGTGTGACTGCCGCCCGGAGGCTCCCTCGTCCCTGGACGACAGTGGTACCAGGACCAGAGGCTGCTTTGTCCCTGACCAGCGAGCTCTCTGACAACCAGGCCTGAGGCAGCTGGTCAGGGATTCCAGCTCAGGAAAGAGCCCCCTGGGTCCAGGAGAAGTCGAAAGCCATGCACGCAGGAGCCAGATGTTGAGGTTTTGTTGTCTGCTCGATGTTGGTGCCTGTCAGGGAAAGCGGAAGAGGAGAAATGAGGCAGTGTTTACACCGAGCAGAGTTGTCTCTTTAAAATATTTTTCTTAAATATATTTTTATTGATTTCAGAAAAGCAGGGAGGAGAGAGATAGAGACATCAATGATGAGAGAATTTTGATTGGCTGCCTCCTGCACGCCCCATACTGGGGATGAAGCCCACAACCCGGGCATGTGCCCTGACCAGGAATCTAACTGTAACCTCCTGGTTCATAGGTTGATGTTCAACCACTGAGCCGTACTGGCTGGGCTAACATTTTTAATTATTGATTTGAGAGAGAGAGGAACTTTGATGTGTTGTTCCACTTATTTATGCATGTGTGGGTTCATTCTTGTGTGTGCCCTGCAACCTTGAACCTGCAACCTTGGTGTTTCAGGATGATGCTCCGACCAACTGAACTCCCAGGTCAGGGTAAAGCCTGTTATTTGGCTTTTAGCTTCATGGGCCTTTACCAAGGACAAGAAACTCAGCAATACACCCGTGGAGCTGAGCTGGGATTCAACCCTAAGCCACCTGGCTCCAGTCCACTAGGCTGCCTCTCAGGATGACTTAAAACTTAAAACCCTGCTTGCCTGGCTTTTTAACTTCTTCAAGTTTTCCCAAGGCCCCCACCCAGCCCAACTTTCCATTTGGGTAAAAAGAACAGGTTTTTTTTCCTTCCCTCTTACCTTTGTCTTACTTCCTTTCTTTGTCTTCCTTTTCTCCCTCTCCCTCTCCCTCTCCCTTGAACCTGGATATTGATACTGATATTGATGTTGATATTGATATATATTGGGCAGTTCTACAGTTGAAGGATAAAGCTCTTGAACTTGAACGGCAGGCTCCCTCCGGCCGGTGGTGGCTGATGGACTTCCTGTGATGGTGGCTCAGAAACGGCCAGTGCGCTGAGTGCCCAGACCCCAGGCTCTGGAGCAGGAGGTCGGGTTTGGCTCAGCAGCTCTGTGGCCGGTGGGGTGGGGGGAGGTTGGGGGGAGGCCGGGGCTGGTTGATGTTGAGGATCCCAGGGCTGCAGGACGGGAGTGCTTTCTTTAGCAGCTTGCCCCTTGAAAAATGACTTCCACTTTCCGATGTATTTAAAGAAGCTTTTGAACTTCTGTTTATGAAATACTTTCCCGCCGTTTCATGTGACTTGGGACACAGCAGCTGGGATGATGTTCTTTTTACCCAAATGGAAAGTTGGGCTGGGTGGGGGCCTTGGGAAAACTTGAAGAAGTTAAAAAGCCAGGCAAGCAGGGTTTTAAGTTTTAAGTCATCCTGAGAGGCAGCCTAGTGGACTGGAGCCAGGTGGCTTAGGGTTGAATCCCAGCTCAGCTCCACGGGTGTATTGCTGAGTTTCTTGTCCTTGGTAAAGGCCCATGAAGCTAAAGACAGTGCCTTGCGCATAGTAGGCCCTTGGTAAGTGTCGACTTCCCCCGGCCTGTTGTCCTTGTCTTCCCAGGGCTCTTATTTTTGGTCACAGGCCATCAACCAGCAGATCATCCATTTGGGCTTCCACAGGTACCTGGGGGCCCAGAACCGAGAGTACTTGGACTCCGGGTGGGCTCTGGGCGGCCCGGGGACCCACTGAGAACTGCCCTTCAGGCTCAGGGCTGATGCAATCTAGCGCGGCTCCCACACCTCTTCCGTGTTTGTTTTGGTTTGGGGTCATGAAAACTGAATCCACAAGGACGCAGTGGGGAGAAATGGAGGCCAGGCACACGGAACACGTTTGGAAGCAGAGCTCGCGCTGTTGATGGCGTAACAGACAGCTTGGCTCCGTCCCCGAGTTGTAATCTTCAGGGAACGTGGACGCTCGGTGGGAACAGTTTCCTTGAAGACATCAGTCTTGGGGTTAGCCGTCTCCTCTCATTGTCCCTCCGCTGGAATGATGTGCTCTGCTCTCCACGGGGCCAGATGCACTGGCCAGAATACTGCACGCTGGTGGGAGGATACCTGCTCATTCGAGGCCCTCCCCTTCCTGCTGTCGATTCAGGCCCGGCTATGGCTACGGCGCTCACATACATTTGGGGGATTTTCGGGGGATTTTAGAATAACTGCCTGCTCGGCGCGCAGAGCTCCCCAGCGCGTGGCCACCGCCTGCCTCCTGCCCGTGCGTCACAAGCCTTATGCTCTGAGCTTGGGAGGAGAATGGAAGAAACTGATCTTACAAACACGTGTGAAGTTAGTTCGGGGAAGAGAATATGCATCCTTACCCCCAAAGAGAACCAACGAGGCTTTAAAAGGTGTGTCCAATGTGCCGTTGTAACCGTTGGGAGTGTACCGCTCAGTAGCATTACGTACGTTCACACTGTTGTACCTGATGTTCGCCGTCGTCTCCAGAACTTTTTCATCTTCCCAATCGAACGGCTGTCCCCATTCAACACGGGCTCCCTTCCTGCTGCCCCGGCCCCGGCAGCCGCCGTTCTGCCTTCTGTCTCGGTACGTTCGACGGCTCTAGTACCTCCTGAAAGTGGAATCACAGAGTCACCCCCTTTGTGACTCAGTGATGGTGGACAGTGTCTTCCAGGTTCACCCGTGTTGTCCACGTGTCAGAATTCCCTTTTCAAGGCTGACGGGTATTCCCTGGCACGGATCCAGCACCCTCTGTTCCTCCTCGGTGAGCACTTGGGTTGCCGCCACCTCTTGGCTGTTGTAGGAAACGGCTTGGCCGGTGGAGGCGAGGCCGGCTTTCTCTGCCTCCTGTGAGGTTGGCGAGGTGGAGACCCTGTGCCCCGCGGGAGGGAGGGAGGGAGGGAGGGAGGGAGGGAGGGAGGGAGGTGTGTGCGGGTGCCTGTGTCCCTCTGTCTGTCTCAGTTTATGTAAACGGGGTGTAAAAGCCCTGTCTTACACCCAGAGAAACTCTCCCTGCCCCCCCGGCTTGTCAGCAACTTCTTGATGGGAAGGTGCACGGGAGGCCCGTGTGAGCCCCACCCTGAGGGGGGGGGGGCAGGTGCCCCCCCCTCCCGGTCCTGACGGCCCAGGTTTTCACTTCTCAGCAGCCCCCCCCCCCCCCGCACCCAGCCTGTGCCTCCTGTACCGGGATGGCCTGTTACTGTAGCCCCGCGGCCGTGGGGGTGGTGGGAGGTCCCTGTAGCCTGGCAGTCCGGGGCCAGAGCCAGTCCTGTAATTTCCTGGCCGTGTGACGCTGGCCCAGTCATTTAACTTCTCGTAAGCTCGGTCTTTGCATCTAAGGGGAGGTGTGTGTGTGTGTGTGTGTGTGTGTGTGTGTGAGGTGGGGGGGTGGGGGGGCAGGAAGGGGAGAGAATGAAACACAGCATACCAAAAGCTGTTAGCCCAGCACTGGGCTTATGGCATACATTTTTAAAAAGACGTTAGCCCTGGCTAGTGGCTCAGTGGTTAGAGCAGGTTCTATTCCTGGTCAAGGGCGTGTACTTGGGTTGCAGGTTCACTCCCCACCCTTGGTCCGGTGCACGTGGGAGGCAACCAGTTGGTGTGTCTCTCGCACATCGATGTTTCCCTCCCTCCCGTCCCCCCTCCCCCTCACTCTTTCTCTGGAAAGCAATGGGGAAATGTCCTCGGGCGAGGATGAACAGAAAAATAAATTTAAAAAACCTTTCTACCTTTATTCTCCCTTCTCCACCAGACGGTGAACACGTTGCCAGGGGAGACCTTGTGTTTCGCTTATGTGGCTCCCCAGGCCTACACTGTGTGGAAACGGTAGCAGCTGCCCGGTGAGGGCTCGTCAGCCTTACCGTGAACACAAACGTGAGACAAAGGCCAGGCCCCAGCAGGGCTTTTCCGCAGTGACCCGAGCGGCAGGACGCCCGGGGTGCACGCAGGCCCCGAGGGACCGCTGAAGGGAGCGTGACTTAGTTGGGTGGGTACGTTCTGACTTGTTTGAAACACAAGAACCCAGTACCGGCCTCATTACTTGTTGGTCATCACCTTGTCTGTACGTGGAGTGCTTTTCAAAGATTATTCGTTGGAACTTTACAAACAGGCCAGTTGTCCGATGTCTTGGCAAGAAAAGCTCTCCCAGTGGCTTCAGGCGTTTTCACAAAGCGAAGTGCTCTCCTTGGAGAGCTGTTTTGATCAGAGTCTCCGAGGGCCCGAGGGGGGCGGGGAACTGACTCAGCCCCGTCCTGACCGAGTCCAGACACCAGTGAAGTGGGGGGGCTTGTGTGCTGGGGGAAATTGAATGGTTGGTGATGGGAACAAAGAGCGTTCAAATCCTTCTTTCTGGACCCCCTCCCCCCCACCCTCCCCCAAGGGCACCTGTCTGGTTTGACCAATGAATCCTACCAGCCTCCGGGCGTAGTTGGGGGCTCAGGCGGGGAGAAGGGCACAGCGAGCGTTGTTGGGGTTCCCCTCGCCAGGGGGAAGGCAGGGAGAAGGTTCCAGCACCAGAGCTCTGCGTGGACGGGACAGGCTGCGCCACTCACGGCAGGTGGCCCAGCTCCGTGGTCCTGAGCAGCTGAGGAGCACGATGGGCTCCTGCTGCCGTCAGGGCTGCCTGGGCCCCGAGACCCCTCCCCTCCCCTTCCCTCCCCTCCCCTTCCCTCCCCTCCCCTCGTGGCCTTAGTGTTTATTATCCAGCAGGACGGGGTGGCTTTTCTCTTCATCTCACCCACGTGGGGCTGTTCACCCTCAGGAAAGAGGCAGATGGGGAGCTTTCTCCTGTGTCTCAGTAAAAATACACAAGAACTGAAAGGGTTGCTGCGGAAACTCCCTCGGCTGGTCCTGCAGACCCTGGTTCGGGGCAGCTCTTCCCATCCCTGCAGGGGTTGGGGGGCTCCTGGGAGGTGCAGGGTGGTGCCCTTGGACCTCGGTCTTTGTTGTCTTGGCCACAGGCCACACACAGTGGCCCTTCAAAGTGAGGCGCCCAGGCTGGGGGTGCTACCCAGGCTGGGGGACCCGCGCCCAGGCTGGGGGTGCCGCCCAGGCTGGGGGACCCGTGCACTGGCTCCTGGGTGGCCCTGTCTCTGTGCCAAGTGGGGTCTCGGGAGGCGGAGGTGCAGGTCTCCGGGTCAGTGGGGCTGGTGGGACTGGGCTCAGGGCCTCCTCAGCGGTGCTGGCCGCAGGTCGCAGGGCCAGAGCAGATTTTGTCTCCGAGCTCACGCACCTTCCTTGACTGTGGGCACCCGAGTCCCATGGAGTAAGCTGCTCCCGGGACAGGAGGCGGAGTGTTTCCAGGCCGCCCTGCGCCCGGGGGGGTGGGGGGGGGCAGAGACGGGCCGGGTGTCACGTGGGCCCGCGGCAGGTGGCACATAAGACCCCAGGCCCGACCGGCCCCTTTCGAGGCCTTGGTGGCCAGTAGGTCCTGGGTGAGATTAGTTTGCCTCCAAGGCTGGGAGCCGTGGATCATGCTGCCCTAAGACCTCCCGGCGCGAGGAAGGCGCGGCTCCTGCCTCCCGCCGCCTTCGGCCCCATGACCCCTTCGCTCAGTGACCAGGGTTGATGTTGCTCTGAGCGTATCGCAGCCGAGTGTAAGTGATGCCGTAAGAAGACACTGTTTTGCCCTGGACGAGCTCAGTGGTTAGAGCGTGGGCCCACAGACCAAGGGGTTGGGGGTTCGATTCCCAATGAAGAGCACATACCTCGGTTGCACGTTTGATCCCCGGCCCTGGTTGGGGCGTGTTCAGGATGTTTCTATGTCTCTCCCCCCACCCCCACTTATCCCTTCCACTCTCTCAAAATCAATGGAAAAAATATCCTCTGGTGAGGATTGAATGAATGAATGAATGAATGAGAAGGTTCCA